TTTTGGATCAAATGAAGACCAGGAGCCCGATCCGCCCCAGTTCTTCAGTGTTCTTCAGGAAAAATGAAGAACACCGTTAACAATCGAGGGTTTGGGACGGTTTTAGGAGCCCAAGGCCTAAAAGCTACGATTTCATGCCCTAATGTGTGAAATATTAAAAAAGATAGCAACAAAAGAGGGATTGAAGGTCTTTCCAGTGAAGGGCAATTACTTTTCCTTCGAGCACAAACGCAAAGAATGGCAAGCGGGGCTTGGAGGAAGATGCTAGAGCTCTGGCGAGTCGGATTGCAGAAAGATAGTAGGAGGAAAATGAGGACGACGGGTCTTGTATGTATAGACAAAAGAGACCGGCCAAATTCAAATTCTGGCAAAACGGCGGGTTGGCTACTCGAGAACCAATGGCAGCCCGCCACGTGTCCCCATTTATGGCGACGTCAGAACTAAAGAGACAAGTTGAAGAGTCGAAGAGCCAACCGGGCTACTTTCAAGGAAAAGGATGTCAGCCGAGGAGTATAACCGGGCAAGTTTGCAGCTTGTTTTGAATAAAGGAGAAGTCATAAATTACAATTAGTTACCTTTGTTAAGAATCCATGGCCAAACACCATCTTCGGAAGTGTTAGTCCGGCTGACATTAACATAGCTGGCCAGTATACTGCATGAAAACGCAATATATCCTGCATAAAAATGTAAAATACATCATACTTCAATGAGTGAAGTTTGAACCAACCATGTTCTTAGAACCATAATGAAAAGATAGAAAATATGAACTATACGATATCTTAGAAATGGTAAAGGAATGAATTAAAATATAGAAAGTCAACGGAACCAAAGAGATGAGGAAGGCAAGAGAGTGGAATCACTGGTTTGTTGAACCAATTTTTGGTCTCTCTTTAAATTTCAGGACCATGAAGTTGGGCATAGAAAATTGATGGAGTTGACAATATTTATAAAGCAAATGGTGTTTGGATGCTAATTCCATGTTTGTTTCATTTGACAGACAGATAATATAGATGATATCAACATCCTATCTTAGATGCAAGCATGGGGATTGCCATACCTTTCCAATCAAGTGTAGTGAAGCAGGCCAACCTGAAGAAAGTGCAGTTTGTAAATTAGTTTGTTCCTTCTCGTCCGAAAGTGCAGATATATAACTGCGTAACATGGGGGGAGAGAGAGAGAGAGAGAGAGAGAGAGAGAATTCAAATGAAAATAAAAACTATGAACAAAAGTAATTACAAGCATTTTACTAGTTGAATTAAAAATAGGCTTCAATCAAAAAATTGAAATTACACCAATTGCATAGCTACACATTGTGAATCCAGATTTAGAAACACAAATATGAATTGCTAAGTATGGTAATATGCCTAATGTAAGAAAAATTGATGTATATTATTGATTGATGTATTGATATTTTCTGTCTATTACAAATGGTTCCTTATATAGATGTAGGTGTAGTGGAGTAGGTGGTGGTAGGTGAGGAGTAGGTGAGTGTAGTAGGTGAGTGTGTGGTAGGAGATGGTAAGTGTGTGGTAGGTGATGGTAAATTTTAACAGCCCCCCGCAAACTCAAGGGGGATAGGAACTAACCAACTTGAGTTTGGGGAGAGTAACAAAACAAGAAAATACATAAAAATAAAAGAGGATAGGAGACACTGTATGGTCGTGTCAGACCGTTGGTGAAGACACTGAATGGTTGTGTCATAACGGTGTAGAGGACAGTTTATGGGGTCATGTCGGACCGTTGTAGAAGACAGTTCATGGGGTCATGTCGGACCGGTGTAGAAGACAGTTTACGGGGTCATGTCGGACCGTTGTAGCAGACAGTTTACGGGGTCATGTCGGACCGTTGTAGAAACTAACCGGAATCAATGTCGGGACAGTTTACAGAGTCTTGTCGAACCCATAAAGGAGCTAACCGGAATCAAATGTCGGGACAGTTTACAGAGTCTCGTCGGACCCTTGTAGAAACTAACCGGAATCAATGTCGGAACAGTTTACAGAGTCTTGTCGAACCTTGCTGGACCCTTGTAGAAACTAACCGGAATCTATGTCGGGACAGTTTACAGAGTCTTTCGGACCCTTGAAAAAGTTGCACCCTCAAAAGGTGTGCCCAATTTTGTCAAAAGGCGTGCCATCAAAAGGTGTGCCCAATTCATCAAAAGACGAGCCATCAAAAGGCGCGCCAGACATGCGGCGATGCACGTGATCGACAGTGCGCGTGTCGGCCTCTTCGTCATGTTCTATATAAAGCAATGCGGAGGCTGAGAGAACATGTGGAAATCAAACCAGTCTGAAACCTCTAAAAAACTCCGCGGTTGCTGAGAGAGAAACTCTGTAATACTCTGTAACCAACCCGTCTCTGAAACACTCAGCAACATGGCCTCTTCTTCCCGTTCAGCTACCCAGAACCTGGCCTCCTCTTCCCGTGGTCTGCTCACGCTCTTTCCAGAACTGAACGAGTCCACAAGAGAAATAACTGGTGCGGTGGCCAGTGAACCTCAACCAAACACCTCTGGTTTTGCTCCGTTGAACTTTCCGATGCGGTCGGTGGAGCAAAAAATGGCGGTGCAAACTGATATTGAGGCCAATCAGTATACTCTGAAGTCATGTGTGGAAACCATGACTGCGGTCACAAACTTGTCGCACCGGCTGCAGAGCAGGACAAATGAGGTGCAACAGTTAAACTTCCAGCTGGCTCTGCTCCAACGCATGTATAAGGATGCGCGAGCAGAGATAAGTGTGCTAAAGACAGAAAACAAGCGGAAGGCCACCGTGATGTTCCGATTTGGAGGTCCGCCATATGCTACAGTGGAGGACTATGGGGGAGTGAACGTGACCAGTGGAGTGGGAAACACGGAGGTAGCACCGTCAAGGGCCGCACAGGACGGAGGCAAGATTGCTTGGTGGTCTAGGAAGCACGGAGGCAACACCGTCAAGGGCCGCGCAGGACGGAGGCAAAAAGAAGAGACCAGCGGCAGAGTAGGTCGGTGGGTGGCCGTCTGCAGAAAAGAAAACAAAGCTGTTGTTGTTGTGATTTTTTTTGTGTATTTTTTTTTTTTTTTTTGGGGTGTAAAATTGTGATCGGGGTTGATCCCTGAGATGAATAAAATATGGTTTGGTGTGCAAAGCGATATGGTATGAAAGGAATTGGAAAAAGATGAAAAATAATGTGAAAGAAAAAATAAAGAAAGAAATAATAAAAATATAATTGAAATAAAAAATGAAAGATGGGGAAAATAAGGAAAGTGGTTTGGAAAAAATAAATAAAAATAATGGATTTTGAAATTTTTTTGTGTGTGTGTAAAATTGTGATCGGGGTTGATCCCTGAGATGAATAAAATATGGTTTGGTGTGCAAAGCGATATGGTATGAATGGAATTGGAAAAAGATGAAAAATAATGTGAAAGAAAAAACAAAGAAAGAAATAATAAAAATATAATTGAAATCAAAAATGAAAGATGGGTGTAAAGTGATATAAAGAAAAAATAAAGAAATAAAAGAAGAAAAATAAAAAAAGGGTGGTGAGTGGAGCTTGATGTTTCTTTCAACCATTCTTGGTTGCTGGAATGCTATGCTCAGAAGGCTTTGAGTGGGTGGATTAAAAAAAAAATATAGTTGCATCATAAAGTGCATGTGGGACGGTGGCGTGCTGTCTGTCATCTCCATCTGTGTCTTTTGATAGAGCCAGGGCATCTCCTTTTCCTTGCAGCTCTAGTCGTTCAAGACATTCATTACCCAAAAAATCCTTCTCTTCCTTTGACATTCCGGGGACAAAACCACGCTCTGCTAAAGCATCCATTTCATTAAAACCTTCCAGCATTTCTCCCTGCTGCTGATAAAATTCTGCCACAGAATCTTCTGAAGCTAAAACCCCAAGACAGTCATGGAAGCCACGAGGAGGAGGCTTCTCTTTGTGCTCCGATAACTGAAATCTATTGAAGTTCAACCGCCATGACTGGTCGCCATTGCTGGACTCTCGCAAGAGGAGTGGCTCCTCCGATGAGTTCTGATCACCGTCGAGCGCTACCGGTGCCATTGTTTTCCGGTGGCTTCTGTACCGAGAGAAAAACGCCAGATGAGCTGCCAAACAAAACAGATCTACTTCGATTCCATAAATTGTTTCCTACAAAAAACAAATCGTAGGTTGAATGATGTAGAAATGGAGGATCACTGATCAGTAAGAATGGCTGTGGTGGTGGTGCTGATGGTGTCTGTGTTCGTCAACTCCAAAGCACCGCATGAGTGGGTAACAAGTCACAAACAAACACCTCCCAAGCATATGGCGGAGACTAGAAAGCAAGGGCTGCAACAGCAAGCCATGAATGGATCATCATATGGGCTAACCCTTCCATGGTGGTGATGATGATGGTGATGGTGTCCGTCATGACCCATGTTCGAATTTCACCTTTCGTGCTTTAATTTGGTAATTAAAATTTGAAGCTTTGTTACTGTTTGGATTGCAGGAGATCTGAAGCTATATTTTTATGGAGAGAGAGAGAGAAAAGGTATGTGTAGAAAATTTTAGCGGACTAGGTTGAGGTCCGGCGGGCGGCCAAGTAAAGAGCAGAGGTCTTAATTAGGAAATAATGATTATTTGATTGACATAATTAATGCACCATCAAGGGAGAGACTTGATTCAGGTTATAGCCAATATTGAAAAGAGAGATTCAAAATAATTATCTCTGCAATTGGTCAGAGGCGGTGACGAATACCTAACAGATTTTTGTAGTCCTGGAAAGATTTGGCCTCAGAGCTGGATGGCAATAAAAATGTCTTGCTATCTGGAGTGCTTGTGATTTTTAAGGAATTGTTGAACTGAACAATCTTTTGGTTTGTATACATGGTTTGTATAAAGCATGCAATTGGATCAGTGTCAGGACACCTTATTTATTTTATTGCTTGTCTTTTGGTAACACTAATATGATATTGATGTATTGCCTCTTTTTGTGAGACTATTCTAATTTTCGCTTGTTATTTTTCCACAATATCTGGTTTGTGCAGGGTGTCCTCGTGAGAAGAGTTGAGCCTACTTCTGATGCCAGTAATGTCTTGAAGGAGGTATTCGTATAGGTTTTAGTCATTATTGATATGCATTCAATGCGATTACCAGTAGGAAAAACTTGAGTTGTTCTTATTGCGATGCTTCTCAACATTGTTTAATGGATCTTAGGATGATGGCATTTCATTTATGGGAAACTCTGTCAATATTTATTTTGTTTTGCAAATTTAACTGATTAAACATAAGTTTTTGTTTTCACCAGTTGAAATTTGAAAACTTGCTTATTGTAAAGCTGTCATTTGTAATCAGTAGAACTGCATAAAATGAAGTGCCGGGATAGTAGAGTATTAAGGTATAAGGAGTATTCACTGAAAGTTCCCCTAAAGCTCTTGAATTAGCTGTTATAAGGATAGCAATTATTACACTATATAAATTGATCATGCAACTACATGTTTGTGTGAAGTTTGTTACCCAACTAAACAATTTTTGGGGGCTTCTGGCCTATCATGATCATATCAAATTACATTGATTCATTTAATGTTCTAAGAAGTGGAATATTCATGCTTTTTTCAGGGAGATGTGATTGTAAGCTTTGATGGAGTTCATGTAGGGTCTGAAGGAACGGTACCATTCCGATCAACTGAGCGCATTGCATTTCGCTACCTCATTAGTCAAAAGTAAAGCTCTTGATTTTCTGTTAAGAAATTGAATTTAAATTTGATTTTGCTGCTCATTTGAGTGCCTTAACACAATATGTTTGATCGGTGCTTGATTAACATTTAAATGTGGGAATGCTTAAACCATGCCGTTTGTGGACAATCAATGGATATGTTATTGGCCTGTTTCACGTAGCTTTCCTGCTATGTTGTGAACCGGTGTATGTGCAATATGACCAGGTTTGCATTTCATACATCATGTTTTGTTCTCCAGTCTTCTGTATAAATGTCTGTTTTATTCTGTCGATTAGCCAAATTGGTAGGTTTCATCTTAGATCTGAGCATGTTCAGGTTCAGATTCGCAGGTGATGTAGCAGAGCTTGGAATTATTAGAGCAGGAGAGTTTATGAAGGTTCAAGCAGTTTTGAATCCACGTGTGCATTTGGTATGCAATGAGAAACTTGACTGTGTAATCATCCACATTTTAGTACTTTATTCTTTTTGATAATGTGAGTTTTGTGGCTTTTATTGTATTGATAATAATTACTTTGGGTCATTTATGCTTTCATGTCCAGGTTCCATATCACATAGAAGAAGGTCAGCCTTCATATTTAATAGTTGCGGGATTGGTGTTTACACCACTATCAGAACCACTCATCGAGTATGTTTTATTACATCTTGAACACTAAAAGCTGCATTCAGTTACCTTAGCACACGTTTTGAGGAATTGCTAATGCATAGACAAGCTAAAGTTATTTCATATTTGTCTTTATTTACAGAGAGGAATGTGAAGACAGCTTAGGGGTAAGTTGTTAAGAGTGATTAGTGACACTTTTAGCCTGAAGCTACTACCAATCTAATGTTCATTGACCAATATTGTTTCACATTTGAAAGTTAATTGGCTGTTTCTTTTCTTGGGTTAGTTGAAATTATTGACAAAGGCACGGTACTCCTTGGCGAGGTTTAAAGGGGAGCAGATTCTGATACTCTCACAGGTATACATATTTGTCTTTAAACAATATGCATGAGATGTTGAGATGGTGGGCATTGAGTAGAGCGTCATAATCCCCTTTTGTATTCTCTTTCAGATAACCAGCTCTGCTACGTGCACAGAATCCGATCATAGAAGCAGACATAAGTCTCTCACATGAGGTGGGACCTACACATTTTATAGGTCCCACACCCCATATGAGAAGGTGTGTCCGGTTGTGGGTTCAGATTCTGTGCACTTTGAATTTTTCTTCAGATAACACATCTCTCTCTCACATCGTAGTTCTAAGTACAAGGGCAAGATCTTTAGTGCTAAAAAAAAATACTACTCTATGTTGTTAGAAAGGGACACTTGCAAGCTGAAAAGAATTGATTCCTATGCTATAGGATTTTTCTTTTTTTGATCTTTCTCGTCTGTTCATTGGGTCTTTTGAATTGCTAATGTCTCTCCTTTATACAAGGTCTTAGCAAATGAAGTAAATATTGGCTATGAGGATATGGGCAATCAACAGGCAAGTTAATTATAACACTTCAACTTTGAAACAGTATTTGCCACTTCATATACATCATTTTCAAATCAAATTATGGCAGGTTTTGAAGTTCAATGGGACTAAAATAAAGAACATTCATCACCTAGCTCATCTGGTTGATTGTAAGTTCTGGCTCTCTTATCTTTCCAAAATTTTCAATCCGATTTACTCTGCTCATAATGGTTTGCTGTTACTCAGCATGCACGCACAAGTATCTTGTTTTTGAGTTTGAAGACAATTACCTTGCGGTTTTGGAAAGGGAGGCGGCAGCAGCTGCCTCATCCCGTATTCTCAAAGATTACGGCATTCCATCTGAAAGATCTTCTGATCTTTTGGAGCCATATGCAGATCCGATGGGAGACAATCAATCGATAAATCACAAGGATTGCGGAGAGAGTCCAGTTTCAAATTCGGAATTTGGATTTGATGCGCTTATTTGGGCATAATCACTAATTAGGGCTGCTCAACTGGAAATCTCACTGCAACCATTCATCAAAAGTGTGATTGCAACTTGCAGGCCACTGAAAAATCATTAATGCCATAGCTTCTGCTTCAATTTTCATTATAACTTCCCTCTTTTTTATGTCAATTCTTCAAATTTTCCGCAAACTAAGATTTTGCTCGTGATTGTAATGGTATATAAGCTGAAGGTTGAATGGCTTTATGCTTTTCGATGGTAAGGCGAGTTAACAGACAAAAGCTTGGATGTTGTGATTCCGCCTTTTTTTTTCATTGATTCAATTATTTGGAGAGGGCATACATGTATCCTGAGGTGGTGGTGGTCATTGGTGGCGTTGGAAAGCATTGATGTATTTATTTTTTGTGAAATGGAATAATGTTCAAATTTTGATTCAATTTATTGGGAAATAGAATACATCCAGTCCTTTTTTCTTTTTCTTTTTCTGAGAACAAAAATACATCCAGTATTTGAATTTATTTATTTTTATGAATGTTCTTCATACAAAAATCTAATAAATGAACAAATTGTATCATTAAAATAGACTTTGTGATAAGGCCCACATTACACAACTAGACCAGTTCAGTTTATTTAAAAAAACTAGAAACAAGCCGTCTCCATTTGAAAATTACTACATATATAAGAGTTTCTATTTCTACATGCTTGTAGTGTATTGTATCGTGGATGAATGGACAGAGAGAGTTGTGTAGTGAGTGAAGGTTATTAGTTTAATAATTTTACTTTTTAATACTTAATAATTGTTAGACAAAAATAAATATTTGAGAAAAATATATTATAGTATTTTAAGAATCAAAAAATTGTGTAAAGAAATTGCTTGAATTGTGTACTTTTTATCTAATAATATAGATAAGTGTGCACCTCAGAACAGCAGAAAGGCCACTAGTGAGAAAGAGAGTCAGACATCATCTTCATTTTGTACCACAAAACAAAAACATAAAAACAAAAACAAATAAATAGATCAAATAGCAGTATATTGTCCCATAGCCACCACACCAACCATGCCAAGCTGTATAATCAGAACACACTATCATTCCAACCCCACCACCACAACACAACTTTTTCACCATCCTTTTAAGCCCCTCTCAATCATCTCTACTCTCTCATCTCTCTCTCTCTCTCTCTCTCTCTCTCTTGATTTCATTATCATTTGATGATGGCTTCAATAACTCTACAGTCAGTGTTAGTCATAGTTGTTCTCATGATGGTCTGCTCATTTTCTTCATCACTAGCCTTATTACCATCTTCGCCCATTTCAGCTTCACCATCAACTCTTCCAAATCCTCCTCTTTCTTCCTCTTCTCCCCCAACCTTATCTCCAGACATCACTCCTCTCTTCCCTTCTTCTCCTGGTGTGCCCTCTCCATCTGAGTCCTCACTTCCAACCATTCCTTCAAATCTGAGCCCTCCGAACCCTGACGACACGGCGGTCACACTTGCTCCAGGGCCAAGCATGGCCATTTCACCATTTGGGTCTTCACCACCTCCCTCCTCAGTTGCTCCTCCTCTAGGCTTATCTGGCGGCTACCTGAACTCAGTCTTGTTTATGGGTTTGATGGTGTTTTGGTTAATAATGTTGCACCATTCTGGTATGTAAAAAAGTTGGTTCATCTCATGCAGCTTTATGTGTTTGTGGGCAGCTCCAATAATTGTACGGTTTCCACTTTCTCTTCCTGTTTGTAGATTTATTATATATACATATTTTTGTATGCTAGTGTGATGTTAGGATTGTGAGGTGTATGCCATTGTTTTGTTTGAACTTTTAATACAGGAATGCTATGTACACATAAATAAATCGCAAAAGAGTTTTGTTAACGTGTGTCACTAGAGCACATGTTTAGTTGACTTAAAAATTTAAATATTCTTTTATATGCACACTTTCATATAAAATGTAAGATCTTTTTAAATTACTTTGCATGAGTATTAAAAGCACACGTTAACAAAAATCAACCACCAATACTAGCATAAAAATTGATGAAAAACTAAACCGACTTCGTTTTTACTATAAAAGGAATATCATATCAAACAACCAAATAAAATACATAATGTAACACCTAGGAGCCCCAATATAGATTAAAAGTAACTATGACATGAATTTAATCCCCCAAACAAAATTATTCACTAGACATGTCTAGAAAGAATATCAATGGTGAAAGAAAACTACCAACATAAAATTCTGTACTCGCTCAAGTTTAAACCTAGCATATGATACGATGAACTGTGTTCTATAGGTTAGTTGCTGACATGTCATCTACACCTGTGATTTTGGGGACCCACTGAACAACTTCCCAAGAAACATACCCTTCAATTTGTGGAACTCAGCAGGGCTCCATTTCTTGGGGGATTCTTTAGCAATACAAAACTTCCTCAGCTTCACATTCTCTTCCTTGAGCAAATCCATGGCTACACTGAGCTGTCTTATGACCTCTCTTTTCTCTTCATCTTTCTCCACTAGTTGTTCCTTCTGAATCTTGTTCTCTTCTTTGAGTTTCTCAATTTCTTCCCTTAGCTTCATCACTTCATCACTGACCGCCTCACTCGAAACTTCTTCTTCCTCTTCATCCGTTTCTTCTTCTTCTTCATGTTCAGGATCATCAACTTCGGATTCACCAGACTCCATGGGGTCATAGCTCTCAGAGTAGCTATCGTAGGATTTATCAACCGAGGCAATTGACTTTTGTCGATTTTTCAAAGACAATGGGGATTCCCAGGGTGAAATCAGGCGAAACAAAGTGTCAGACTTGACTTGATCATATCGCTCTGCTAATGAACGATTGGCACGATATAAATCCTCAACCATGCCAATTAGCTCTGGCCGCTTTGTGTAATACATCTCTGCACGTTGGGCAAACGACTCCGCATCTTCCTCAATTATCCTCAGCATAGCCTTCGTCTTCTCATCTAGCTCTGTAGTAATCAGAAGTGTACATTAAAATCTCAGCAAATTCATAAGCATTGTTTCTATCTACTATTATCTAAAAATAATTAAATTATTAATGACAGGATGAAACCAAGGAATAATCCCTTAAAGTGCAAAATTATAGAAGATCTCCTTATAAAGATCAAACAATTCCATCGAATTGAGTATGATTGTATTTGTGATAGCAGCATATCAAGAAATATTTTAGAGATGTTTTTTGAAATAAAAGGTGAGTGATGCGAATCCCATTGATCTCAAATAATCACTTACAGGGTCCCCCGGAGGAAATAGAATTAAAAGTGAAAAGAAACCTTGGCCCTTTGTGATTCAGACTACTTTTAAGTATTATAATGAGGTCCACTACATAATTAGGCCATCAAAGGTCACTTTTTGTGGCTTAAAAATTGGATGTATAGATAAAATATTAGGGTGATTCCTAAAAGGTATCATAGAGAAAAATTGAATGGTGCCTATGGAACTCGGGGGGCCTTTACTTTAAGGACAACATAATCATTATGCCATTTACCAAGTATTCCCACCATCCCACCCCACAAACACATCATCAAAGAGCTGACTGCTAGGCGACTAAGAAAGTAAGAACCAGAACCACGAAGATAAGATGGGAATTGTACAGAGAGTGAGGACCTGAGGCACAGTAGAGTAGGCAGGTAGACCCCCTGTTCATTTCCCAATCTCCACAACATACCCTCTAATCCTAGTCCATCAGTTCATGATATCTATGGACTCCTCCACCAATCCACTGTTTCTGCTGATAAAAGAAGAAAATGGGAACATGTAGTACCCAGAATGGTGTTTGATCCAAGAGATACCAGTTTGTCATAATACATGTATTTATATATTGAGCCACCCCACCTTATGGGTTGCTCCTCCCAAAAAATTAGCATTTATACATAAGAATCAGTGCATGAAGTCTTGCAAAAGTACTTCGATGACTACAATTTTTACACATAAATTTTTTCTCCCTTTTACATCATTATAGCATCACACCAAGCACCTTCCTAGTTTCCCATAAATGCTATGGACACATAAATAAACCACCAAACCAACAACCAAGCACCCAAGGGATGTAAGTGTCAATGGTTGTTTTTTTTGTATTTGTAGCATTTCTGCTAGTTTCCTGATATCAATATACTAATTAATTGCTTTGTTATGATACTTTATGTTGTCTTCTTTTGTTGTGGCCAATGTTAATATTTAAGAATTGAACTTTGAAGATTATGTAATAAAATGTGGCTAGACTCCATAAACTACAAATTAATTTGTTTGGTTAAAACCAATTAATTAGTTAGTTGAATTATTCATAGTTTCTGAATTTCACAATAGTAAACATAATGTGCATATCACATAACAGCCAGTCTTTCCAATCTTGACACTTGAATAAATCAAGACTCTTTTGGATAGCTTTTCAAGATTCTCAATCACTCTCTAACGGTCAAGAATCAGTATAAAAATATACGAGATTGATGGTATGGTTTCATCAATTTCAAATTGAAGCCGAATCTACCTGTACATATCTATTCTACTATATAAAGCACACAACTCACTCACTAGGCTAAGCTATGTTACACATTTTTTCATGCCCAAAGTGCCCCTGTACAACTGTCCAAGTTCTTGATTTCAAATTTTAGTTTCTTCAGTTATTTTTTCCCATCTACATTTATTTATTTATTTTCCAAATGACGGTGGTGTCTATGCATAACCTTCTAGTGTATATATATATATATATAAGGGCAGAAAGTAACTGAGTATTTTTACCTGCAAGGGTGGATTGGAGCCACGGTGAGCGTCTTGGGGTGGCGTCATTGACCTTGTTGTGGCAGTCGAACCACCACCAGTGCGACAATGCCTTCGTCTTCGCCTCCACCATTTTTGTCTCTTTTTTTCACCTTCAATTCAACAAAGCCACAACAACCCCACACAAACAAATCCAAAGAATTCAAAAAAATAAAATAAATAAATAAATAAATAAACTATTTAATGACCAAAATCGACTCACTAGAGCAGCTAGGAGTGACATTCTGGTCATTTAAAGTAAAACACTAATGATGATGCAATAGAGAAAAATTGCAAATCAATTGTAAAGCTTACCAACTTTAATAATTGAAGTAATAAACTTTTTCATGGTTTTGTAATTTTTTTTTTTTTTTTTTGCTCTTTCAGCTGATTTGTAATTTTCCCAAAAGATATCATATACTACTTGATTGATAAAGCAGTATTTCCTCAGTAAAGACTGCCTTAACGGCTACTGACTCCAAATCTGGGCCACCATTTTTTCTTCCCACACGGCTTATGCCTCATTTGGGACTAAATATTTTAGACAAAAAAATTACTATAAATTGTCATATCGCTCTCTTTATTTTTTTATACATAATTTTATAAAAATTACTAAAATAGTCTATTCCAAAACCTCCCTTTACACACAAATTTTGTTTAGAAGTTAATTTCCGGACAAAATTTACATGGTTTAAAAATCAACTTTGGAACAAAAACTAATGTTTAATTTGCAAAATATCCAATTTTATTTGAAATTTAATATCCACCCCCCCCCCCAAAAAAAAAAAAAAGGAAAAGAAAGATGAATGGACTGAGAAAATGTGTGTAGACTGAAAACAAAAGCTGGGCAAAACCACATTAAAATGACGAAACTACCCCTAGATGCTTTGCTTAATAACACTAAATAATACACCAGTAGGTGGTTTAACGATAGAAAGGGTATTTTTGTCGAACTCTGATCACCGTCGATTGTCTGATGATCGCCGAATTGAATAGAGAGAGAGAGAGAGACAGAGAGAAATGTACCTTAAAAGTGTTCGCTTCGTTTTTCTTCAGGAGAAAGAAGCAGAGAAACGCCAACGGAAGCTCTCTCTCTCTCTCTCTCTCTCTCTCTCTCAGTCTCACCGATGAATGAATGAATGATGATCAGAAACAGACAACTGTTTGTAATTTAAAACAACCACAGAGACCCACCACCAACGCACTTTCAAATTTGTCTTCAGCTCTTCATTGATGCCAATCTCCTATCACAATCTGCCACGTCTTTTCTCACTCAGGGTTCAAACCTTTCCATTTTACCATTTTACCCCTATATTATGATGCCCATTATCTATCAATCCTTCCATGAGTATTCCCCTGGTTTGAAAGTAAAATTTTAAATTAACCCTCCGTTTGGGAAGTGGGTTGGCTTTTTGGCTTTTTTGGCTATTTTAGCCTGGGCTAAAAAGCTTGGTTTGGGAAGGACTTTTTGGCTTTATAACATTAATTTATATAATATTATATATATATATATATAATATAAATTAACTTTACATAATATTTTTTATACATATAACTAATAATTTGTAATAAATTTTACATCTTAAATCTCTCTAACACTTATTTTTACTTTGGTATTTCATTAAAGATTAAAATATATATATGTATTAACTATACTAAAATGGAATGATTTCGAAGATAAATTATAAATTTTAAAGATCAAACTACAGTTAACGAAAGAATAGTACGTATTGATGCAAATTGATGTGATTTTAACGGATTGGGTAATATTTTACACAACTCTACTAAGAAGAATCAACAGTGTCTTTAGGAGGGATAAGATGGTCCATTTGTGTTGTTAATGGAGGGGCCTTTATGAGATTTCCATTTCGTTTTGGCTCTAGTCAAGTCAGTTGGAGCGTCCGAATACGATACTCCCTGGCCAAATATACAAAAGGAAAGAATGTTTGCAACGGTCGAAAATATGCACGTAGAAATAAATAACGTTAATCTCACACGCCATAAACCGAAAATACGCCAAATAATATATACAAATAAAAAATTAAGGTAATGTTTGGTAGAGTTTTAGAATTATAATTTGATAATAGAATTATATTTTGAGTTTGTAAGTTTTGAAATTATGATTTGAGCGTGAAAAAATTTGTTTGATTATGAATTTTAAAAAAAAATTTAAATTGAGTTTGAATTGCGTGATTTGACATGATATTTGATACAAAAACTTACTATTCATAACACAAACACACAATCCAAAATTATATTCAAAACTCATAAAAAAATTTAAAAAAATTTCACAAATATTTTTTTTTTCTAATATAAAAATAATAGGTGCAAAAAAATAATAAAGAAATAAATAAACCGAACACAGTTCCGGTCAACCGGCCGGTGAGACGTCCGATTAGTCCAAATTTTCTCGCCTTGGAAAGAGTTTTCAAAAGTGAGTGAAATTAATTTTTGAAAACACTAAACAAACATCACACTCAAAAGTGAGTATGGAATTATGTTTTGAAAACTCCACCAAAGAGAGCCCAAGTTTTCTGTGTAAAAAATCTCATGCAATGGGACTGGTCAGACCCCGTAGTGATAAAAGTCTCATGCAATAAATCTACTCAATTACTTTCAAAAAATGACACAATGAAACACCAGGATACAAGAAAACATCAATTATGAACATTTGACATAAGCTATAAGGTATTTAATTACACAATTACAACATGATTACAGAAAATGAAGCCGCAATTAGGGCCCTAATTGCTATGATGTATGTTTGTTTAAAACAACAATTTTGAGCATTTTACATAAGCTATAAGGTATTTTATTAATTACTCAAATTACTATATAATTACATAAGATGGAAGATATAATTAGGGTCCTGCACCACAGCCAAGGGAGGGTCAGCATGATGTATGTGTGTGTTTTATATACATACAAGGCTATGGCACAATTGAAATGAAGAGCACCGAACGTAAAACAGTAGCTGTCAACACATATGAAGGTCAGTGGCAACAAAACTTGCACAGGTTTTATTGGAGACTGCTTTCTATCGGTGAGCCAGGAACATACGGCACGAATCCCCTCCCACCAAACACAGGGCGCATGAAAGCATCATCAAACTTTCTCCAGTAATGATGGACAGTATGAGTTGGGGTGCTTAAGAGCATGCGTAGACTGGTTGGACGAGGTATACTATGGATACCCGTGTCAGCCTCTGAATCTTCTTGCCCATTGCCGAGAAGTGGCAATGTGAAGGATTTTGGACTAGATGGTTCAGAGGAGGTCATGCTGCTCGAGTGTTTTAATGGAGGCAGCAAGAAATATACAAGAGGTTTGGTCAACGTTCCAAACACCTATTAACAACAACAACAAAAAAAAAAGCAAGACAAACAAAGAAACAAAGAATCAACAATCAGGTGCAGATTGGTAATATTACTATCAATATTGAAGGTGTAATAATAAAAATGCAACAATAGATTTCATCTCTCGACTCGAAATGGGAGCAGGCTTGAAAAGGATATTAGAGTGTCTAGGGTTGGGCTACAGATCCTCTTACATATATAAAGGATGGTTTATCAAGAATATGCAAAACAATCACTTTGAGTTGTTGATTAATCGATTTAACGCCAAAGATGGCTTAGAGCCAGTAGTTCATGCTGAATACAAAAATTCTATTGCATCTATTTTGGATAGATACATACTTATCTAGATATACAAGATTTTTAATTAATAAAAAATCTACTCACAAAGAATGCCATATGTTTGTTATATCAGTTAACTAAGACAATATAAAATAAAACCTGAGTTAAGGCAGAAAATATTTGGATTGGAAGACTTCCCGTTCATAAAAAAAGATCCTTTTAACCAATGGGCATACCAGTGTACTGAAAAGAACGACAGTGATGGTGCTGGTGATCATGATTGCATTTCCTGGCAGTTGTGTATGGCCAGACTTCGCAAACTGCATGTGCACAGAAAATCAAGCTTCAACGTGCAAAATATCGCCCCCATAACAATACATATGGTTGGTAAACACTTATCATGTATTCTAAAAACAAAAACAATCCCGCGTCGAAGATATGTATTCAATGCAATTAACTTGTGCAACAATATCAGCAGTTACAAAATGCATCAGCAAAATATTCGTTCATATGCAATCTGGCTACAATTACAGCTAGAAGAAATCCACAACTTTCTTCTATTGGCAAATTAAATCTAAACCTGCATCGTAGCCCATTGATCGTACACATTTTTACCTAATTATAAACAAGCAATATATAGTCAGTTCTTCAACATTTTTACCTGACTATAAGCAAGCGCCATAGAGACAGCTCCTCGCATTAGACCAGCCCACCAAACTGTAATCTGTAAAGTTATCTACGAGTTCAGTTTTATTGCACAAAGCAGATCAAGAAGCCGAGAAACTTGAAAAAAATTCCAAATCACTTACCTGCTGCTTGAAGCTAATTTTTTCGCTATCAGACTTCTTGGTTAAGTTAATTAAGAAGGATAGTGGCAAGACAAAAGCTGCCCTTCCAACTAAAACCAGGCCAAGCAGAATTGAACTGACCCCAACTGATTTTCCAGGGCTGAAGAAATTGAAATAAAACGCAAATCAAATAAATGAAATCTGCAATGGCAAAATTATAATATAAAATTTCCCCAAGTAAAAAGAAGAAAATATATGAAAAAAACAATTGACTTCCACTTCAGAAATCAGAAAACAAGCTGAAGGAAAAGAAGGGGAAGTGCAAGATTAATTTCAAAACAACACTCTCTAGTGGATTCGTAGATCTTACCTTTTGCTTACAAAACTCCATTTCTCAATGTCCAGGGCATCCATACCAACATAAACGAAGATGAAAATCTCTGCAATGAATGACAATGTTGCAAAACCATGCCTGCAGAAATTAATAAACAGAGTCACAAAATAAATGTAATAAGTCAGCTTAACCATTTTGAGGGAATGCAATATCATATTTAAAATATGGAAGTCAAACTTCTGAGAAGATATGCCTGAAAATTTTACATACTTGGTAGTTACCCTTGAACTTTCAGTCACATTATGCCAGGTGTAGTGTGACATGACAATCCCACAAATGAATACAGTAAGAATCCCACTCAAGTCAAACAGCTAGAACAAAAGAAAAATATTCAACATAATTATTTTTTTTACATAAATAAAAATAATCAACATAATCATGAAATACAGCAATGTCTGAAATTCAATCCAAACATAGTATGAAAAGTAAATGTTAATGGCCATAAATGTGCTTAAAAAGATGAGCAAAACTTACTTCAGCCATCACATATGAAAGGTAAGCCATGAGACTCATAAGAGCAACTTCACGATCTGTAGAGTGCCTGACATTTGAGCATGTAATGGCCATTAGAGTTATCCATACACTAGTGTGGAAATGCATACATGTATCAGCTACTATAATTTTTGGTAAGGGCAAACTTCACTTCACCCCCTGTGGTCTACTCCATCGGTGGTTTACCTCATATCACTTGAAAATAAGCACATAACCCCTTATCGCTTGTGGATTAAAGTGCACCGTCGGGCATTTCGTTCAAGTTAACTGCAAGTGTGAAACACATGCCAGGACACAAGGGAGTTATGTGTTCATTTCCAAATATCAGGCGGTAAACCACACAGAGTAAAGCACATGGGGCCAAAGTAAATTTTGCCTCCCAAAAAAAAAAAAAGATTTGCACAATGAGATTTTGTATAGGGGTATTTTAGTCTTTCCGCTTAAGTAGTTAACAAGCCTGACGAGGCACTTTAGTCCACAAACCACATGAGGGTTATGTACTTATTTCCTAATGACAGAGGGGTTATGGACACATAGTCCAAACCACAAGAGGAATAAATTAAAATTTTCCTTTTTGGGAAAAGAAATAGTGAAGACACCTTTTATGTGTTAATTCTTCTCCAAGGTAAAAATCCATCTTCAAATCTAAGCAAACAAAGATATATATGGCAGTTATATGTATTATTTCTCTAATGCTAACATTTTTATATTTGTTTTATACAAAATATTTCCCTCTTTTCAGTATAAAACCAGAATGCATCTCAGATAGTTCAAGCATTCTGAATAAACTGAAAACCTTCGAGCAATTCAGATATGATTTTCCAAATTTTGGGCCACAAATCCTCAAAATGTTGTACAATGATATACAAATTCTCCATACGCAAAATAAAGGCTTGCACATGAAAAGACAAGGGTGTCTCACAACTTATAAAACCATAGTAGGAACAAGCTAATCGATGAGATTGGCACATTCAATGTATCCATACTTAAATTTCCTTATGCTGCATAGTAAAAGGACATCAAACCAGATTCCCACCTGAACCTGTTATGATATTTTGTTTTTTATTTTGTTTCGCGCCCCCCCCCCTAATTATGATATTTAATCATTTGATCACTTGCATAATAAATAATGTAAAAATGCTTGCCCATGGAGACTTAAAAAATAAATGAAGCAAAAATGAAAACTTGATTCTCCAAAAGAAAAAAGTGAAGAAAATTGAAAAACCAACACTTTCATACCTGCCAAAGTACAACTTTTTAATGATGTATGCGCTAAGCAATCCAATCTGCGAGTATAAGGAGTAAAATGTCTTACACCAATATAATAATTTTTTGTCAGCAAGAGATAACTCACAAGCAGCATGCATTAAGTTTTGAGAAGGGGAGGCAGAAGCAGTGACAGCTTTCTGGGCACACCTATGACTACATAAGGGCACTTTGATTACCCTAAAGAAGCCTCTCTCTTTATGCAGCTGGAGAACCTTCTTTGGACTATTTTGTTATATGTTGAGGTTTGCTATTATTGGGCTCCATTTTAAAGAAAAGGCCCCCCCAAAAAATCATGTTTGTCCTCTATACTCAGTCTATCTGAAAGAAATAAAACATAAGACCTTATTGTAGAATTTCAACAATAAAGATTAATGGAAAGGAAAGGTCCTAGAATCACGTGATAAGGATAGTCATAGTTTTGATGAACTAAATGAGGATTCCATCATCCCCTCCACGCACCCCCGCCCCCCCGCGGCAAATTATACAATTAACAACCAAGCTTCTTGAGTGAGAGAAACAGAGAAATGAGTGCTTTTGTTACGCTGGGATCCGTTAAAAAATTATTTAGGGCTTTATCTCCAATTTTTTAATGATGCCTTTTTCTAGGAGATAAGAATTTCAACACAATCACGTGGAATTACTTCCACACACACACAAACAGAGAGAGAGAGAGACTTACGACAACCCCTAGCAAGGTGCTTGCAATAAATAAAGACAAAAAATTGCCTATGAACTGCCAGACAAGGCCTGAGTTCATTTGAGAGATATCAAATTTCTGGATTGCATTGAAAAGTACCACAGAGGTGGCATCATTTACTACTCCTTCGCCAAAGACTAGACTGTACAACAAAGGTGTCTCATCCTGATTAAGCACCTGCCCATTAAACAAAACTTTAGTCACAAATTTCATTTCTTTCTCCTCCTTTGAGAAAGAAAAACGGATTTGAGAAGACATTTATACCTGCAATGTGCAAACCGAATCAGTTGCTGATAAGATTGCTCCAATTGCTGCAAACATTGAAATTTCACACTTAAACAAAGTCAAGAGATAAAGGAATTAATTGGATAAGGCAAGATGTGTAATATTGTTAAAATCCACCTACTGAGAAAGAAAAACGGATTTGAGAAGACATTTATACCTGCAATGTGCAAACCGAATCAGTTGCTGATAAGATTGCTCCAATTGCTGCAAACATTGAAATTTCACACTTAAACAAAGTCAAGAGATAAAGGAATTAATTGGATAAGGCAAGATGTGTAATAAATACACTATAGATTCAAATTTTAATTTATTTTTTATCTTTTAATTACTTTAAGAGTCTTGAGTTTTGTTGCTGGACAAAGTAAAACAAAGCACGGGTAACAATAATATCAACCATAAGCTACCCAACAAAGAAAATACGAGTTTTCCATTTGACCACCAATAGCACAACTCCATTTTCCCATATAAAAGGTGTGTGGTTTATATACGGAGGTACAATTTCTTTAAGGTCAGAAATTCAGATCAGGTGGGATAATCACAGTTTTGAGAGCAGTGTAAGTGTTGGTGTCAGACAGATGTGCAGAACTTAAATAGGGATGTTGATAGCAATGCCAACAATGAGAGTGAAAATAGTGCTAGAGAACATTAATGGCAGCTACAACAGGAACAATCATAACAACCAGAATGACAATAAGTTAACAATGGTCATGGAGAAAAGGTGAGATTACCGAGATAATCCCCCATCTCCAGGAAACCGATATCCAGCTTTTTGAACAATTGAGATGCACCTAGATCAAAATTCATATGTTATGAGCAAGATAAATCAAATATCATATAACAAAAATGAACTTGTAATGGACGTTCAAAAGATAGAGCTCAAATCAAGGATGAAGTTCATCAAGCATACCAATTGCAATGGTAGCGAAGGATATCAATGTCCCAACAACACCAAACAACATGATAATGATAAAGTTCCGAAAAAATTGCTTCTTTTTCACCTGAAACCTGGTGAGAGAAAGTGTGAACACATTATTTCACTGAACACCCCATTGTGCAAACATTTATGAGTACAAAAAGAATAAAGCTTTAAGCAATTAAGAGGTGCCTATCTATATGGAGGAAAAAAATACCAAAATAAATTGGGGGAAAGGTTTCAATAGTAGTAGGGGTGGTAGTAATAACTGTTATGCTCCAAGTAATTTAGCATACAGATTTGTCACAACTGCACTGAAGTTACTTTTGACACCTACTGAAGTGCAAGTAATAGGTCAGTGTCACATGTTATCATCACTCCAATAGTATATCTATACAAACACAAATTTCCTTGCTACCAGTTCACACAATAGAAAGCAAAAAATGTCCAAACTTTGTCCAAAATTCTCTAAACCTGAATTAGAACAACAATAATATAAAAAATAAAAAAACAAATTTGTCTAGTCCAAAAAAGAAAAAGAAACTGACTTCCTTCCACCTATGCTGGAGATGCTGTAAAATCAATAACTTCTAGGATGAACAAGCTAAACCAATGAAATGGGGCATTAGAATGCAAATTCAATGAAAACAGAACTTAACCAAGACCAAGTGCATAATCAATGTTTATATGGTATGACCCAAAAAAGGCTTAGGTAGCACAGAATCATGTAAAAGGATGTGATTACTCCTCAAGGGAAGCCCTCTCCCAAAACTTCAAAAGAAAATGAAAAAATAAATAAATAAATCTGCTACAATGGAATTGCCATTCAGAACAGGCCCAAGATTGGTCACTACACTACAATTCCTCCAGTAGTTTCTATCATGCTGTTATTTACTAATCTTACAGCCAATTCTAGGTTACTCAAACAAATAGTGAATATATTGTAATGAGCCCTTAAACATTGTTTTATGCAAGGTTCTGAAAAGCGGTTGCGGTCGCCATAGCGGTGGCGGTGGTGCGGTTGCGGTTGAGGGGTGTAAAGGCCGTAGCGTAACGGTTGCGGTAACCGGAACCGTGAATTTTTTTATTTTTCGCACGATTTGAAAAAAACTTACCGATACGCATATTTTTTTTTCCATGATCATATTTATTGGATTTAAAATAAATATTTATCAATTTTTGTAAATTTTGTAAGTATGATCCAATATATTTCATATTTTTAAATCACTATAAATTGAGTTTTTTACATTTTATTTTAATAATTAATGACTTTATATTATACAAAAAATCAATCACTAACTATTATATATAAGATAAACAATGACAAAAGTAAGAGAATAAATAAGAGCCTAAATATATATATATACATATTTTAACCAGGCCAAATAGATAATGACCACACCTATTATTATTATTATTATTTTCAAATAATATATAAATAGGCACACAAATAAAATGGTTGAGTGATAGCAGCTGAATAGAATAGTATAGGTCTTACAGCTTCAACAAATCAATAACATGTTCATCTTCCCTCTTCTCTCTCTCTATCTCTTGCTCCTCCATTTTCTCTCTTTATCTTCCATCTTCTCCCATTTTTAGCTTTTTTTTGTCTGTTTTTTCAAAAGAAACAATTTGGAACCGTTATGTAACAGTGCGTAACAGACCGTTACGACTGTTACGGCACCGCTACGGCAGCCGCTACGACCGACACACCTGTGAATCTCAATCACATTGCAAAAGCGGCCGTAACGGGTGGCGGCAACCACTAAAACCGTTACGTAACGGCGTTACGTAACGGTTGCGGCCGCTTTTTAAAACCTTGGTTTTATGTCAAGTTAAGAAAATCTATACATCAAGGATCCCCTAATCGCATTTGAGAATTTGGAATCCTAATTGTTAGCATAGTTAGTTCTAATTAGTAGGGTTACCTTCATCAGATATAAATGATGCATAAGAAAACACTCACACAGAGGGATGTCAGTTTTAAGTGTTCAATGACATTTTATGGTAATCCAAAAGAAAACTAAACACATGACCTGAAAAAGCAAAAAGTAATTACATAATTGGAGTTACATCAGTAAATCAATCGGAGTTTGAACCATCTTGTAACAAATTCCTCGAGCCCAACTGCTCAAGCAATACAAAAGGACAAAAAGTCTCCACTATTGTTGTTAGGTTTCTTTTAAAAGTTCTCCAAAAATTTCAAAAAAAGTTTTGTTGGGTTGACTTGAGCTGAATTTCTCATAGTTAATAGAACTCCACAGAGATGACAAAAATCTGAGTTATGACAACCTAGCATGATGTGGGCAATCAACTCTAATTATTCAAACTACTTATTGTGCCTCCACTTGGAGCTAATTTTGTTCATCATTTTTGGGGCCTATGGCACTGAACACTTTCTACCTGTCATTATTTTTGTGCTAGCCTCCAATAATGCTGCAATTATGTCAGAGTTAGATATTTCAGCAGTAACAAAAAAATTCTGAACCTTATAAATCAGTAGAAGGCAATTATTTTAACTGGTAAGAGCAACACCCTGACCTAACTAAAAAAGTCAAGGAGAGACATCCATGAGGGATTAGATTGCACAAACATGAAAGGATGACTTTGCAGTTAACTTGAATAATAATAAAACAATGTATGTGAGATAAAACAAAACTGACCCAGCATTGAATATAATAGGTGGAAGGAGGTATATAAAGAAAAATTCTTCATCAAATTCTAAGATACGCGAGCTTTTTCCACCAGAAGTTAGTAGAATAACAACACCAGTGCACAAGCCCTGCAACCAAACCCCATAAATTCCTTTATTACACTCCACGATCTAATAAAAAAAAATATGCAGAATCAAAACAGGAACAATATGTGGAGTCAATAATGATTCTCTGTGAGGACTCACAATGACAAGGGAAGTGAATGACTCATTAAACCATCGGTTTTCCTCGATAAGATAGCCGATCACAATGCAAGCGCAAAGGAGAGCCACGAATAAGGTTATGGAATCTATTGTAACTTGATCGGCGTCCGATGACAGGATCCCTGATTTCATCAAAACAGAGGCCACACCTAAACCCATCTAGCAAATTGTTTTGAAAATTCACCAAGCTCAGAACAGAAAGATAAAATTGTTTGCTGATTGAAACAAAAAATTCAAGTATGTCCCTGAACTATCCATTCAATTCAATATTGAGCCAAAAAATCACACGCCAAATAAACCCTGTATCAGAGTAACCAGAACACAATCACAACTAATAAAATTACGACAGTACAAAATTCAACTCAAATAACCAAGGAAACTACACAGAAAAAGGCATGTGATGTGACCTAAAAAAGTCTGTCGCGTGAAGTCTTGACAAGGAAAGAAAATGTATGCTTTGTTTTGTTTGGTTGCTGAGAATATGTAAACTGAAGGGTTTCTCTGTATGTAAATCAATAACTCCAACCTAGTACGGCTATTTCAAATGCCAAGTGTCATTCGAGTCGATTTTTTGGAATTAAGATCGCAACCAACAACCAAACTATTAAATACACATTTTCTCATCGTTTTCCTCCATTTTTTTTCTCAGTAACCAAACAGGATGGTAAAACAACGTTCACGCCAGGGAGTTTTCTTAGTGAGAAAGTCAGTCCGTATACGCGTGTGTATATATATATATAGAGAGAGAGAGAGAGAGAGAGAGAGAGAGACCTGAAAACTGGAATATTTGAAAGACCGCGAAATGGAGTGACAGACAAGGAATAGGGAGAGTGGAAGACAAGGAATATGGAGGGCTCGTCACCGTCTGATCTATCAATCAACTTTTGATGGTATTGTGGTACCTTGACACAGGAAATTTTTACTCTTTGGTGTAGATTCTACGCTAATCTATAAATAGTGGGATTCTCTCCCTGTTCACGCAGCCGGCTGGAGAAGAGGCGGGTTTTGTTTGTTGTGAGCTCTATTTGGATTGTATGTTGTTTTATTTTATTATTTATTTGCATTAAATTCGTTTTTTCCGAAAATATTTTCTTACAATTTTGCAAAATTTATTTTCTTACAATCTCCCTATATGTAGTGATACAGATTAATTCCTTTCGCTTAAATTAATTTTTTGCAAAATTTATTTCTTGCTTTTGGTAAAACTCGAGTATTGTTACTGTATATTTTCTCTGATAATAAAATTGATAAATATGATTAGTAATTTTTTTATCCAAAGTTGTGTTTAAGTAAAATTTTATTACATGATAAATATAATTTTTGTTGGTGCCTCTATTTATCCGCTATCTTTCATCTCAATGCACATCACTATTCAAGGCATACCTCTAGTAATTTAATAAATAATAAATTTGCTTAATGCACACCATAATGTTCTATTTTCACCCTTAGTCACACACCTCCACTACCACCTCCACCTGTAACCCAACTCCGTCGCCGGCGACCATGTAGTCCTTCTCTCTTCCCCTCTCTTCTTTGCTAATCCTACATTTTCTGAGCAACCAAACAAACGAGAGATCAAACAAAATGGGTAAGAAGTAATACCTGGAACAAACCTTGGTCGCTGTAGCGATGCCCCATAGATTGAAGGACTAAAATTGGAAGCATTATAGTAATAATTAACAATCAAACCCTTCAAAAATCCGTAATACAGAGGTGAAACCTCCAAATCATCTTCCACAACAAAGGCAAACTCGTCATCCGAACTCGGCTACCATAACTCCAACCACAGCGCTTGCAACCCTACATTTCCAATCCAGTAAAGCACTAATTTTCACCGAATTCCCAAACAAACCCATCAACAAAATCCAGAAGTCGACGCAATTCACTCAGTTTTGCATCAAAATTATCAGTTAAATTGTTCGTGATTTTGAAGTGGTCAATGAAGATGTGAAGATTGACGCTGTCACTGTGGTAATGGGCATTGGAGAGAGATCCAAGGTAGCGAGAGAGAGAGAGAGAGAGAGAGAGAGAGAGGTAATGCGATCAAAGGCGAGGACTTTGATGGTGAGAATGAAATTGGTATTGGTATTGGTGTGATTAGGTAAAATGAGAGTGGTACAGTGGTTTTGGTTGAAGAATGAGGTGGTTTGGAAAGACTGAAAATTGAGATAGTGAGAAGTTGTAGAGAGAGAAGAGGAAGAGAGATGAGAGAGATATGGAGGGGTTGCGGTGGTGGTGGTGACCACGGCTGTTAGGATTTCACGAAAGATGATGAGTGTAGTTTAGATATTTGATTGAGGGATATAATTGTAATTATATTTTTTTTAGAAAATGATGTGTCTTGAGGTGAAAGTTGGTGTGTAAATAGAGGCACTCATATGACTCAATGATGTCTAATGAAGAAAATAACATCTTTGTGACTTTCGGTGTTCCGTGACCAGGACTTGGTTCAACTATAATTTCTGCCGCATTTTGCATGTTATTTGTGAAACACGTAATTTTGTTGTTTATATATATTGCCAATATACATATTTTTCAAAAAATTCTACTTTTTTATTTTTCATACTTTTTTTATTTTTACTGAATTTTTTAATATTTTAAGTAATTTTTTTAATTTTTAGGCACGCCTAACGTAAATATACATAAAAAAGTATAATTTTTGTGAATTTTTTTTAAAAAATTTTTACTAAATACTAAAAATACAAAAATAAAAATAAAAATACAAGAAGTCAGTATATTTTTCATATTTTTATGTATTTATTAAATTTTTAAAATATTTTTTCACAAATCTTTTACTTTTTAGATATATCTAAGTAAAATGCATCTAAAAAGATAAAAAAAATGCTTAAAAATTTTAAAATATTCACTAAAAACAAAAATAAAATGAAAAATAAAAAACTCAATTTTCAAAAAATCTAATCCAAAAAACTCAAACCAAACAAACACATTATATTTATTTATGATGGTCATTTATACAAATAATTTAGGGTAATTACAAATACACTCGCTGACGTTTTTTTAAAGTACAGATTACTCCCTGTAGTTTGGAAAATTACAAATATCTCTTTATTAAATTTTTTTATTTAACATAATTAACTAAAAAATGAAATTCATAATTGCTTTCCTATACATGAATAAAATTACATAAATTATTAATTGAAACATATTATTAACATAATTAAAAACTATTAATTGACATGATAATTTATTAATAAAATGGATAATTTGTTATAAAATTAAAAATCTCAATGGTGGAATGCAATTTCTAAAACTATAAGGAGTGATTCGTATTTTAATTAAATCTCAGGAGATATATTTGTAATTTATCCAATAATTTAAGATGAAAAGATATAATAAGCTACACAGTTAGGAAATACTACTGGTCTAAGCTTATGGATTTTTTAAAAATATTTTGGAATGTTGAATTGAATGGCTTTTAATACATTTAAAAAAAAATGATATATAAATAAATGGGTTAAGTTAATAGATTTGGATTTTGCATGTTCTCTAAGATTGGGTTTGGGATAATCTCATAGGCTTGATATTTGAACTTAGATAGATACAAAATCTCTTATTAAGTAATATAAGTTTAGTTCAATTTAGTCAATATGACGTCATAATTAGCGGTTGGTGGCATCAAGTGTAGGGTTCCACAGTCCTTTTATAATTATTTATTTATTTTTTTAATCTTCACATATATATTTGTTGGCAAAATGTTGGCTTATTTTTCCTACGAAGGAAAATATCATAAATGCGAGCGTGCCAGCAAGGATTGAAAAATCCTTACAGATTAAATTCAAGCCAATTATCAAGCGATTGTGTTGACGGTTCTTTTGCCTCAACGAAGAGGACTTCAAAATTGCCAAAGTGTAGAGAAAAGAAAAATTAAAAGAAGAAAGAGGTTTTTCCTACGAAGGAAAATATCATAAATGCGAGCGTGCCAGCAAGGATTGAAAAATCCTTACAGATTAAATTCAAGCCAATTATCAAGCGATTGTGTTGACGGTTCTTTTGCCTCAATGAGCTTCGAAAAGAATTGATTGTTCTTGCTTCGAAATGGAAATTCTGAAAATAAATGCTTCGAAATATAAATTTATGTTAAACTACTCCTAAGATAAGAAAAATGACAAGAAATATTGAAATCAATTGTCTTTGATTTATGTTCTGGATCTTTTACAATGTAGCAATTAATGGCTATTTATAGAAGAAAAAATACAGCAATAACTACTTAGTAACTACCCATTTCTTCTATCTTCATTCTTGTCTTGCCATGTGTCCTTCCACTCATCCACTTTGTCTTTCATTTTCTCCATTATCTCTATAACTTCTTTTAACTTCCAAATGAATAAGAGGATGCCACGTGTCTTGCAATTATATAAATAATAAATAATAAAAATTGCAGATTTATGGTGTTAACAATATTTTAATAAACTATATATTGACACATTCATTTATTTAACTAAATTAATAAATAGTTAGCATATAAAATTATATTTATTTTTGTTTTTTGCCAAATTACAAACACTGTGAGTCTGAATGCTCTGAGGGCTGTGCCCAAAAAAAACAGAACAAGCTCGTGCTTCGCATGTATTTGTTCAAAATTTTGTCTCTTGCGATTGCCTAGGTCATTTTAAATTTGGGTCAATTATAGGGACATTTTCTAAGGGTTTATTTTGACGATTACATTGTTCTATCTCTTGGAAGTTCTCTTTTTTTTTTTTTTTTGGTTTGAACTATAACTGGATTTTTTTTTTTTTTTTTTTTAAATATATATTATCCTGTTATCTGATGAAATATTTGAGTATTTTTTCACACAAATAAATAAAATTATTTTTGTCAATTGGATCAGCTGAATCAAAATATCTTTAATGATAATGGTAAGATTATGCTTTGCGCGAAATCTCCCACTTTTCTCTAATCCTCCAATATATTAGAAGATGGTCATACACCATCAACAATGCTTTCGTTTGAGGTGTATTATGACTTTATTTTTATGATCCAAACCGTTTATTTTGTAGGGTTTGTTGAGTACTTCATGCCTACCAAAAATCATATTAATCGGATATCAACAACTATATGATCGATAACCAAAAAAATAAATAATAAGTTTTTCTTTTGAGAAATAGCATAAACAATATGCGATTCGATCATATAGTTATTGATATCCGATTAATATGATTTTTGGTAGACATGAATTACTCAGCAAACCCTACAATATGAACGGTTTAGATCATAAAAATAAGACCATAATACAACTCAAACAGAGACACCACAGTCACTATTGTGTTTTGACTACAGCACTAACCCCTAAGGATTGATTTACATGTATTTGAATTTAATAGTTATAAATTTGGCAGTTATAGAAAACGTAATATTTATTGAATTGATTTATTTTTTTTATAAATAATATACATAAATGATTTTATGAAATAAAATATTTAAATTATTAAAACGAAATTTATAATGAGTTCCACAAATCTGAACATGACAATTAAATTTATATTTAAACTTAAAAGAAATACAACTTATTATTAATCTCATGGATAGATTATTTATATTTTATTGATCCACACTCATCTGTTTTTATGACTTTGATTAACATTTTTGTTCCAATATTGAAAACTAATATTTCATTACCATAGAAAAATCGTATAAGTGGTTTTCCTTTTCCTTTTTTATTTTATTTTAATTTTTGTGATTGTATTTAAAGAAAAAATTACGAAT